TAAGTTTCAATTTAATTCGACGTTCTGAAGTGGGTCAAAATCACGTTCCAAGATTCCGTTACATACATATACCAAGCTATTACAAGCGTGTTAAAAAGCATTAACGTCGAAATTGTTAAATGCAAGAGCCTTATTCGCTTACACTCTCCTGTCCCGAAAAGTCGCCAGGCGCCGGAGAGCGTAGGACGATTTTCGACCTCCATGAGGGATGGACTGGATGGGCTACCCGTTACCCTAGCAGAAGGTCTGAGACGGTGGCGTATCGTGTGTGCCACGCATGATCTAACCCTATGGTTGTAGTCAGTTCGATTCCCACATACCACTTCACCGTAACCCATAGTGAGGTAAAGATTTACTAGATTTCTCCCATGATAAAAACAGCAAAAAGACGTATATACGGAAGCACAACCTGAAGTATTTGGTGTTCTACTTTACCATGTATATTTCTGTCTGTGTTTGTTCAGCAAATATTATACAAGTAATACGTAGACATTCAAACCATACCTTGTCTGAAAAGATGCAGTGTAATGCAAATAATCTGCTAGTAATTTTAATGTAGCATTAAAACAACAGACGAATCCAAATTTGTACATGTGTTCTGTAATATTATACCTACGTAGAATATTCAACAAGACGTATGAAAACCATAGGCGGTAAATATTTTATATCAATGCCTTACAGATAATCGAATTTTGCTAATATTAAATAATTATTTTAAAAAATACAATTACTTATTTTAATTAAATATCAAATGTCTTTAGGCTGTGCAAATTCACTTCAATATTTTTTCTATTGCAAATTTAACTGATAACTATGTTACAAAATTCATTATTTAACATTTTCATTTCATTTAGAAGAAACTTAATACACAATATAGGACTAGGACTAATTTAGAAGAAACTTAATACACAATATAGGATAGGAAAGTCGGACCAAACTTGAATCCTAGTGAAGAAGATGTTTCTTTCTACGCTTAGACTCACAGGCAGTCTATTGTAAGTTTAGATAAGGTTGGCTAGTTCAACAAACTGAGCTGTTTCAAGAAGCACAAAAGCCTACGAAGGCGTCGTCCCAAGAAGCACAAGTCGTCGTCGTCGAATCGGTATACGGTTAGATCTGTTGTATAAATACTCTATTACTAAAGCTAAATGCCCAAGAACATATTAGCATTCATAAGTCAGATGAGAATTCATAGTGTTTTCCTTTATGGCTTATATGGACGACCCACACACATTTAAATCTAGAACTGTATAGGCCAAGTGTGAGTATTTTTTTTCGTAAGTTACTAATGAGAAAACACCGGCACTAGCTCCTGAACATACTTGAGAATCGTCCGTTGGAATTCGAACTTATTTTATGGCAGATTGATCTCGGTGATTTACACTTCCTACACATTTCACGGGGTGAACTTAATTGCGTAAACATTTTTATGTATAAAAAAGGATTTTTGATACCTCCTAATATAACGTAAGCATGTTTTGCATCATGATAAGAGATCGAGTCAGTAGGTAAAACATAAAATATTGGTAATAATTTTGCGGTGATTGATTTTCTCAACATTTGCTAGAGTTCCCACTGTATCGCAAGGTAAAATGGGTGGCAGTCGTCGCGCGACTCGTAATTACTACTAGCGATCTAATAAAGACGGGCTTTATTGGAACAAGAAATTACGACACATAACCCTCTCGTCAACCAACTCGTTAGCTAGTTAGTTATAATAGCATCAATCAATTGGTTCGCATTTGTAAGACACAATGGAATCGCCCTTACATGAACCTCATAAATGTGATCAGTATCTGACAACAAAACAATTTCTTAATCCGTATATATTTGAGCATTATCGTAATTAGTAAATTCGGCAAATCATTGTCCAAGATCATTATTTCTAATTTACTATGACGAATGTAAAGTCTGGCTGTGTATTTGTGAAGTCTTCGAGTTTAATTCCTAATGGATATGGCGTGGCATTGTATCGTAACACGCGGACGTTCGTTCTGTAAATACGTAATGTGTGTTAGTCTAATGAAGATTGTTTTACTCGACACGTGCATTATTAATGCGCGCACGCAGCGGGCACCGGGCGTTCGGCCGCCGTACCGGTATAAGGTAGCGGGACGGCTCGCACTTCGCCCACCACTTTCATTATTCTGATTCTTCATTTGTTTGATTGAGCTTTTAATACGATTCGCTGTCAACAAACAAGCGGTCGGATTAATCAACAAGCGCTGTCAACAAATACGTTCGTACCTAGTCGGATGGACACTAATGACATCGGTCACGTAAAACAAAGATGATATCGCAATATTGAAATGGATCAGTCACACTGTAAAATCTTGATAAATGCTATTTTTATATAGATTTCTAAGAAGGTTTTTTGATCGACTTTAAGGAATGAATAACCCAAATGTACAGTTTTTAATCATTTATGTTATTTCTTTCCCTGCTCAGCACTTTTACTTTTTAGGGTTTAAAAAAGTAATTAGATAAAGAGCTATAAAATAATAAAAGATTTAAGTTGCGTAATCTAAGGGATTAAAGCACCCAGACGAGCTTTAATAAAGTGCACTACATCTTAAGTAGATGTAGTGTACTTTATTAAAGCTCGTCTAATTAAAGTAAATATTCAGTAGAATTACGTTACTGATTTTCTTCTACAGTTTATTATTATGAGGTATATGTTCCTTTTTAATTTCAAAAAACAGTAGAAACTTAATTCTAAAGTATCCTTAGAAGTTCACAATATTGTAAAATTGGTTAAAATTAGATAATGAAATGTTGACAGCATTTTCATAAAAGTTAATTAATTTCATTAAATAGGTAATTGTTACTAAAAAGGCTTGTAAAGGCAACATCTTAAAAAAAAAAGATGGTTCCCACGGGAAAGCTTATTGCATAAAGATAGATCGATAAGCACTCCGCCGCTCAGTGACAATTCCATAGCTTAGTAATAACACCAATGATTAAATCAAATCAGAAGCTCAAATTAAGTTTTAAAACACCTGTTTTTTCGGATACCACCCACCGTTGGTTATGTCGGACTCTAACCAACTAAAAACCACGCCATCTCAGGTACTAGTAGCCGGGGAACCAGGTGTACCCTAGGAAGGAAATTCCTGGAGCTGATCCCTCGTGTGTGGGAACCACGGTGTTCCCGTTATAAAAAGTAAACAGCGCGTCGCGCCGCCAACCCGGCCTGCTACTGCTAGGGTGACAGAAGCCTCACCTGTCACCCCCAGGCTTGCGCCTATGGAGAACGTCGTTCTGCGTCCTCCGGCGCCTGAGTTGTCGGCGGTACCTGGCCCGTTCCCGGACTTGGCGGACAGGAGGAGTTTGTAATCTCTATCGGTCCTGCTCCGCCGTCTCCTTCGCAGGCATAACTTGCTTACAGAAGGAGACGGTAGAGTTCCACGCGCTCACGCTCCGTACCATTATGGCCGTCACGAGGTCACGACGGACATTCTGCCAGCGTGACCACGGTCCGGCCATCGCAGTGGTGACATCCAGGCGTTGGCTCCTTGCGGATCAGACACAGGTGATCCCCGAAGCATCCTTTCCTAGTGATCATCTGCGTCAGACGGTATAAGAGGGTCTCGTGACGCCTGTCGAGCCAATCCTCCATAACGGGTCTTACCGCCGCAATAACGGCGTGCCCGGCGCTTGACTGCCCAAGCCGCTCCTACCACTCCTCCACGAGGACCTGGTGGAGTTGGGATTTCTGATCATCGATATCTCGACTCTCAGGACTCCGACCCAACTCCCGCGCCTGTTGCGCCACTGATACAGAGCCTCAAGGGCTCTCACCCTAAGCCTCCTAGCCGCGTCTAGCCGGAACTCCACCATGGGACCTGAAAAATGATGGAGTTCCGGCTAAGAGACTCGCCACCTCAAAAGAGATCGTGCCGTACGGTCCAGCCGTTTAGAAGATTACCCGAAACAAACTGACAGACAAAAAATATTTAAACGGGTTTTTAGGCATAATACGAGTATCGTACAAATAGCCGTATGAGCATGAAAAAATCGATTGTTTTGACATTACAAACAGACACTTCAATTCCATTTATTTCCATTTTATCTATAGTTACGATAGAAACATTCGCACTTCCATGTTCCCAACTCCATCTTGCCCGTCGAATTTTGCTTACTTTTGATCATTATTTAAGCAAGCTCTGCTGTAAAATACTTCAACTGAGCAAGGCCCTTAATGCATACGGTACTCTATTGTACCCTTTGCCTTTAACCTTATGTTTGTACGGGTCATTAGTTATTATCAAAGTTATAAATTGTCCTAGTTTCATTGATGTCGCCATAAACTTTATAATAATTGCAAGCAGGTTTATTAAAAACTAATGTATCTGTTATTCGACGTCTCACTTTAAATCTAGACAGTAACAATACTTCTGATGTTTTCGGGCTATTTTTACTATATAAAGCGTTCAAATTTGCCTTAATCCATCACACGATCTATTCGTGTAGGTAAATTTATTAAGCAACTATCAAATTATAGAATCGAAGTGAAGACTTTAAATCCCAATAGAAATCCGTATTAAATTATTTCAAAATGCAGTTGGAACATAGAACAATCTTTACGTCATGTAATTTAGAATATATATGTAATAACAGATCAAGACATATAATAAAATTATTTAAAAGTTGAAACATTAATTTAGCTATAAATGTAAAGCTCCTATTAGTTTGGTTCGGTGGCTGCTATGACTGGAATGTAGTGCCTGTGTGTGTATTTTTCCAGACAAATATGGTCCTAGAATGTTCGAGAGAATAGTGCATAGATTTCTTTGTCTTATAAATATAAAAAAAAAAGGAATTAATATTCAAGAGATATAGATAAGAATAGATAAAGATAAGAATAACATAATAATATATTATATACACAATAACAACATATTAGAGTTGTTCTATACATTTTACATTTCTTATTCATTTGAAATATATGTATATTATAACCATCAAATATAAATGCATATATTTATTTTTGGTCCAGGATGTCAAGACACGTACTCCTTTCGCGATTGGCAGAGCAGTTTCAGGCTTCATCGCCGCCGCCTCAAGCAAATCGCTTTCTATCACCCGAAGGCAGTGTGTCTCCGCGTACCCCACCTTCACCGCACTCACCGCCGAGATCACCCGACTCGTTATCTCATCATCGACTAGATTTACTCGGAGACATTGAAATAGCTGGGAGAGCTCTCAAGCAATATGCAAGAGCTACAGGTTCGTAATCACATATAATTAAAAAAGAATACCTACTTTTCAAGGAAGTAGCCAATATCACTGAAAACCTAAGATGGAAAAAAAATTAATCACCGTTAAGGCATAAATTAAAAACAAGATCGCCCAGATCGCTGAAATTAATTAACGTTTATTTTCAACCTGTAAATTTCACAAAATTCTTTCAACTGCGAATTAGCTTAGAATGAATAATATTAAATCCATTGAGTTCTACGAATACTAACCAAAAGCACATTAAGGTATTCATTTTTGTAGATAAATAATAATTATTGTACAGAATTGGGAGCGCTGATGTACTGCAGCGGTCTTGGAGCCTTATACAGTGGCGCTGGAGTATGGCCACTCCTTATGCCCCGAGCTTCTCCACAGTTCATGAGAACAAGCCTCGAACATGCCCGACATACACCACCTAGAGACGGTAAATAAAATTTCCAAGAAAATTACGTTAATTGATATTTTAAAAAGGACTCATGGTACCCTAGTTGCATTGTACTACTTCTTGTCTAGGTAAATACCTAATCCAAATGGAAATGTAATTCTAAAAACCAATAATAATCAGTTAGTACTTACTGGTGACTACTCAAGCATACAATTGTAAGTCAAATTTGACCTACATATTTGCAATTATTATAGGTGTAACGTACATTTAAATCAAAGTCAAAAGAATTCATGTGTCGTAACATTCAAATCCATATAAACAGTGCAAGACACCTGCGGCTGAAAGTTTTTACGTGTTTCGAGAATCCTAAAAATGGTAATTAGATACGTTTGCGGTATTACAACACTTCAGTTCGCCTCGGCCTCCTTACACGACTTCTGAATAATACTCATTAGAATAGCTATCAGTAAGGCACCGATTAATAACTCGAAGCGGTGATACGTCGTCGTTTACATGTCGTTTACCTCCACTGAAGTAACAAACTCGCTTGTTTCCTACACTCCAAGGAAAAGTGACTAAGCATTTGGCGCAATGTCGTACAAAATAATTTAAGTGTTCGAATTATTTCTTATCCATACAAGTACCGGTTACAACTCAAGCTCGAAGATAACAAAAGAAACCTGCGACGAAACCGTACTTTTTTTGTAAATAAATACGTACTTGATTTTATGTAGTCGTCGCTAATTTATCGACAAACTCAACTTTTTACTTTTGATTCTAACTTTAAAAAACAGTATCTAAAAGGTACAACAATCCAAAAAGATCATAGTAAAGTGTTTCAGATAAATTTGCCAGTAATTACGATGAATATATAATCACTAAATATATGAACCTTATCGAATGAACTACCGCCTTTAAATCTCATTTCCAAAACTATTTGCATTTTGAATGTTATTCTCGTGAACAAAATGACGATAACACAAAAAACATGTATCTTTAATTAAGGATCATAAAGATAATCCGAAGTATTAAGTTGGAAACTATTACTATATTCTAGAGCTAGAGCAAACATTTACGTAACCATCAACAAATAAAGACGCACCTGTACTGATTTCATAAGTCATTCGACAGACGACCGATTTGACTCGTCCGACTTTAAATTTATTTACAGATAGAAGCGTGAAGAACAGTCGAAGAGAAACTGCCAGTGTCGCTTAATATTTGTGTATTGACACAACACAATGTCACAATATATTAGCGCGTTTCCGACTCATTGTGTCTAACAGCAGTTGTTCGTTGCAGATGATGAGGAAGAGCTTCCACTGAATCTATCTACAAAGAACCGTCAGATTTGGTCTCCGGGGAGTGCATGTGAGCAAGAAAAAACTGATGTCAAAGTGGAATCACCGATTTTTCGTTGGGATAGGCAAGACGACATCGATGCGCCTCTCGAATTAGTCAAGAGATGCCGAAGCAACCCTGATGAAGCAGAGCGTCCTGCGAGCACAGAACCACGCCGGTGCCCCTCGGCACCAGCTCACCAGACCTACCCTATAAAAGCTCCACAACCAGGAGACCTCAACTACACCCTGCTTCTCAAAAATGAAAACCGAAATGAGAAATCGTTCCAAGTAAGTTTATAAACCGATAATGCAAAATTGTTATTCCACAGCGCTTGTACATAGACAGCTTTATCCTTTAACAAGTTCAGAATAACTGTACAGTTTCCGTTCAAAATGCTTTAAAATAGCAAACCAGTATCCGTTTTAGTCTCTTTAACAAATCAAATAGCAAAAACTGCCCCCGTCTTAATAAGTAGTCGTATATCGGAACGGGTCGCGCGTCCCCCGCTCGGCGCGCATGGCTCACATCGAACCTCCTTGTTCGTCTTCTCGCCATTTTTGTGCCTTTCGTTTTTTCTGAGCGCTGCTGTTATAAAAATCCGCATCGGTTTTAATCAAAATTCCAGCTTTTAATATCACGGTGCGGTTATTTAAATTGAAGCTGTAATTATATTGTGTCAAACTATGATAAAAACGTTCTACCTTCATGTCCTTCATGTTTCCCAATTTATAGTTATATGTAGTGTTAAGTAAATCTTCCGTTGCAGTAGCTGCGTCGATCTGACCATAAATAAAAATTCTTTATGGATTTATTGAGTAGGTCATGAGTAGAGTGAAAACGATTTCTTAGCATTGATTTGATCTTTTACCTTATATTCAGAAAATGAAACATACACATATATAAAAGCGTGATGTATATGGGCCTGGTAGTAGAAGGCGCGTGCGCTTCATGCGCCGTTCACGCGTCACCACCTCGCTTCTTCAACGGTGTTTATTAACAATGACATGGCTAAATATTACATTCAAACAACACCTTTGTATAGGTGACCGCCCAGATGATCAGTTTTATGATCATCTGGACACAACAAATTGATTTTAAGACATTCATAACCCCTAAATTAATTTTAAATAAAGTCACAAAATATGCAACTATTCTAACTAAACATGGTTTACTAAATCGATGAATTGAAAAATAAATTGATGCCATGAAAATTTACTTCTAATGAAGAGCAACAATAACAGTATCGCCTAACTACAATGGCATAACCTGTTTGTTAAAAAATATTTACCCCTCGCGGGTTCACCGCAGGTTTAACAGATCCGTTAAAAAAGTTACGTTAGAAAAAACACGAGTTTTTTTTTATTCAAACGGCTATCATAAAAAGTACCTCTCTACGCGGTACAAGTCGATAACCATATGTGGACGGTCATACCGCAGCACCTGTGTTGTTTATAAGAGAGTGCATCGAAGGTATAAAAAAAGTAGCGGTTTTTGTGAAGCGCGAGGCACTGCAGCTGCCCGGCCAACTGTCACGAGTCCGCTACGCGGATTTGTGCTGTGGATTATCATGGCGCTTACTTAACAACTAACCACTCGACTAATAGCCGTCCAACACATTTTTTTCTGTTCATATATAATGCATAAGACAATAAATAGTTACAAGGATAGCCAGTCCTATCCTCAACGTTTCAGGGTTGAGATATATTATCGGCTCGGCTATTGTAACACTTACACCACACTCCTTTTTTTTGTGTTCGATTGTTTTACAAAAACACATCAACGAATAATTTTATTTATATGATTGGCAACCTAAATCCTGGATAACTCTTTAAAACTCCAGTGGATTGACAAACCTTATTATACCTACACAGTTTTCGTCTATCTATTTTGTGAAATAACAGAAGTTAAACAGATTGTGAAATCCTCACTCACAGTATCATATTTATGACATACATACCATGTCTAATAGTCTTAATCAGTATATAATGTAAATAAACCTAGTTAGTACCGAATTATTCCCAAAAACATCTGATTAAATAAATCTAAAGCAAAGTTGTGGTACATTCTTAGTTAAAAATCTTTTGTCTAACAAACAAAAGACAAGACAACATTGTTTTACTTTTCAAGCTTAAGATGGCATTTTAAAACCAAAACTGAATCGAACTGCGGAAGCTTGTTACTTTATTCTACTCACATTATCTAATTTTATTAAATTTAACTCACAAACTCTATACTTTAATCTAATTTTGAGTTTTTTTTTGTGTTTTATAATTAAACTAGCTATTTAACGTGGCTTCGCTCTCGTGATTATTTCCTATTTCGTGTTTCTAACTTTGAAAATGACGAACTTCCATACAACCGTTCATCCCTTATTTTACGTCTTTATGGGTGAAATTTCATAAAATCCGTTATTAGTGGGTGCTTGCATAAAACATACAACATGCTTACATAAAAAGCATCAGCTGCCAAAATTTCAAGTTTGTAGCCCCAGCGGTTTATTAGGCTCTACGGTGATGGATCAGTCAGTCAAAGTAATTTTATATGTATAGATTAATAAACTTTTCCTGTCGTTGCGAGCTCTTCTACTGTAAGATTTCACTTGCCTTATTGTAATTTTCACGCGTTTCACCACACGCTATAGCGACAGACACTGTCGCAACCGCTCTGTTGTAGGGTGCAAGTAGATGTTACTGTAATCGATTGCATGTAATATTGATATAGCTTGATATAGCAGGAGTATTTTACTGTGATGTCAAAAATTAAGAAATAATGTCTTCATTTCTCAATAACGACCGTGTTATCTAGTGTTATGGAACCTTTGCTTTCATAAAATAATCGATATAACTCTTTATTCTATGACATATAATTTAAATGAACCTATTCGAAAAAGAATCCAAACGCCTCGTGCTATTAGAAATTCTATGAAAATACAGGTAATTACTAGTTCAATGTTTTTAATTATAGGGTAAATGAAAAAAATCGTAGTTATGACGCTCCTAGATGGGAAATCAAAGAAAAGTGTAGAAAGGGGTAGCACACAAGGCTGTTATTAGTTTATTACTAGCTGTCACTATACAAGGGAAGGTGATGGACGCTGTCCACTACTAGTTTATAATTATATCTAATTCTGTTCCTTATGCATCGTACAATTTAAATTAACTCTGCAAAAGTCTTTTGATGTTGCTAAAACTGAATAACGGTATTTTACTCTTTAGTGTTGAATTGGAAATGATCAATTTTGAAAACAGAATTATCGCGTACTATGCTGGACTAAACTATATTTAAATTAGGTATGCACGGGTACGGGTTTGGGTTCGGGAATAAAGGTGTGAGTGAAAATGTATGTCCTGGTTGTAATTAATTTCCACGTGCATCCATATAAATAAATATCAAGGAGACTAGACTATGGCACAGACTGCTTTAAAATGAATGATGGTTAAGTCAAAAGAGTACATTTAACTTCCAGAAGCTTCAGTATCTGGACTCTATTAGACAGTCTTTTTCTTTTAAAATGCTTTAGTTACAAAAGAAAATATACAGTATAGATTTCTAAACGATGTCCCCTTTTTTGTCCTAGTGCAAACAATGCGGCAAGTGTTTCAAGCGCTCGAGTACCCTGTCGACCCACCTACTCATTCACTCGGATACCAGACCTTATCCATGCCAATACTGTGGCAAAAGGTTCCACCAAAAATCAGACATGAAGAAACATACCTATATACACACAGGTAAGTTGCATATCCTTTAAAAAGTACTCTAAGATTATCTATAAAATTACAAAATCTGGTGGCACGTCAATGTCTCCACTGAGTGAAGAAAAAATGGCATAGCCGTACGCGCGTGGAAAATTCAGGATTCGAACCTAAGTCCAGCGAATCGCGCGTGTTACTGACGTAGGTACTTTCCATCAGGTGAACCATCTGCTCGTCTGATGCCTCTAACATAAAATAAAAATAGAGGCACCCTAAAGTTTCGGTGAAGACATGTGCCCACTCAAACTTTAAATTTCGAACATTCATCAAAAAATCTCTAATAAATCTCAATTCCAATCTCGTTTTCTGCATTTACTATCTGCATAATTAACTTTGTAATCCTATTTATTGATAAATTATAAATATTTTCTTCCAGTTTCTCAAATTTTTCGTCTACTAAAATAGAAACAGGTAGATACAGTGCAATACATACAATAACAAAAAAACATGTAAAATAATGTAAGTCTCTCAATGTAGGTTTTCTACAGTAAGAACTCGTGAGATCTAATTGTTATCTTTTTAGTTAACTAAGAAAATGTTACAATGGCAGTACTACTACAAGACATCATTATTTCCCAAATCGTAAGGCAGCAGAATCATATGAAAACCTAATCAGGTTTTGCAGTAGAAAAACTGTAGTTTGGGAATCTTGGCACAATTAAATATACTAATAGGTATATACTGTAGGTAACACTTAAGAACAAAAGATCTCATGATTTTTTCTTTCATTAATCACAGACGAAAATTGCTTTGTATTTGCGTACACTTCTTATTCGGTAAACTTAAAATTTGGACTTCAAAAAAATTGGAAATTGGTCAATAATTTACTTAGTGCTAGAAGTGGACATAGACTATGCTAACTGTCTCATAATAGGATGAACGTTAGTTTGTTTATATAAACAATCATTGGAATAAATACTTGCCAGGCCACGAAAGGAGCAATAGATAAGAACTGGAATTCCACAAAAACCAAATTAACAAACAATTCTCTAAATAGAATGTTAGCTCGATAAGTGACCTGCAATTTAATTAAGTTTTTCAACGATACTATACAAGTAGCGATATCACGACATTAACAGCTAAATAAAATCTTTATCACAAATAACAGGTTTACGGTACTGTCAATAGGTACAAAATTGTTAATAAATTACACGGTATGACTCAACTAGTGTGAAACTCGGATTATTTTTTCATAAAAATCGCCTTGGGTGTCACCGTGGTGGTGACGGTCCTTTCTTACATCAGCTTTTCGTAACCCTATTATTTTCTAACTTGATATTATGCATTAATAAAACGACAACAGTTTTGTCGTCTTCAGATAATTATTCGAAATGTAACACGGTATTGTTGGTACACTGTAATGTTAATACCCTGAGCATACTACTATAAAGTTTGCTATCTAGGATCTAGATTATAGGTACACGAGGTTTATATAAAAACACCTAAGCTAATACCGCTCTCTGGCTATTTGGTCTTCTCTATGAATTCCTATTCTGGAAAAATAATGTTGCAATATCCTTTATTGCGATAGCGAATTGCAATAACATTTATTTAAATCTCACCTTCATAATTTCCAGTGTATCCTTGTTTATAACATTTTTATCTTTACCTGTTAATATATTATTTCTCGTAAAATTTAACTTTCTCAATTAGTTGCCAACGATATCCAACTATGTGTGTCGAGCGTGTAATGATAGGTAATCTCCGACGATTGCCCTTTTAATCGGAATGACAGTAAACAGCTGCTGAAGACGTTATCCGGCTTTATCCTCGTCGATTTATTGAGCTGTAGAACATGATAAGCGGTTATTAACTTATAACCGATGCGTAGGTACTTAACTACTAAAAACAAGTACATTAAATGGAAATATATAGAGGCAGGCCCAATACCTTGAGAATTAAACATTTAAATGCTGTGCAATTATTTTTTTGATGGCAAATCGCAGCCAGTCCACAGCGCGTTAATGAATTTTCAATAAGCAAAAAAATATAGCATGTTCAACTCGAGGCTGCATTGCCTGCATTTCTTACAGATTACCTAGTGTCTGTAAACCTTTTTCGCCCAATAACCTTTTCGATTAAGCATAGCTAAATGAGAATTAAAATTTCAAAATGTCATCAGCTCTATAAAAAATAATACTTATCAGTTTAAAATAACCTATGTACGACAGTAAAATCGCACAAATTTTTCAATGGTTCGACTGCATCCAGTAAGCCCAACGAGACGAATTATAGTAGCTAAAAAATGTCGGACATATTTGTCTCGGCCGGAGACATCTCGTCACGTCTCTGCCCTGTTCCGAATGATTTACAGCGGCCTTACATGGTGCTCGTCCTCCCGATAAATGCCTCATCATCAATATTCCAAAATGCGGTTCAGCCCGCAATTAGCCGCTCAGCCTTCACAGGCCTTCACGTGCACAACGATCACAGCATAAACAAAAAGCAAAATCCTGTTATATCTATAAAATGACATTTGCATTTTTTACTACAATTTTATTTTTAAACTCTTTGAAGATTTAAAGTAACTGTGGATGTTAATAAACTCTTAAATCAGACATTTTAAGATTTTATTTAATAAAAGAGGGCTGTTTATTAAAAAAATATTTGCTCTTATACAATTATTATTAATAGAGGATTATCAGGAAAACGCAGGCATAAGTAAATGAATAACACATTGGAAAGAATTACTATGTTAGTTTTAAATTAAAATTATATTTTTAATGCTAAATGATAATTTTTCCAACAATTAACCTGAGCGTACTATGTACACTGTACATTGTACAGGCCAAAAATAAAAATGAAAATAATCTTTTACACTCCGAAATGATGCGCAAACGCCGTTTACCCATTCTTATATCTAATCATCTATTCCCAAATACCCTTAGAACACAAGATTTAACAGATAATTAATAAAACAGCTGTTGTCTTTAAGTATAAATGTTATGTCAGAGGTACAACCCTAAAATGTTTCACGAAAACTGGTTAGTGTTATATCGAACCACAAACAATTACTGTTCAAGTTACTAAATACCGAGCCACAAGGCGACATTGCATATTAAATCAGTTCGGGAACCGCACCATAAATAATAAATAGTCGATGATATGACAAGTATTGGCCCACTTACATAGGCTTTAATTACTTGACGAAGTGATACGGTTCATGAATAACTAAGAAAATTAAAATTACGTAACTGTAGATTGTAGGTATTAAATGTATCCTTAAAATAGTTTCATATTATGGGTTTTTACTTTATATTCATTGTTGAAACTGACTTATTCAGTGATAATTAAGTCTAGATTTTTTTTTTTATATTACCTCAATTTTTTTAAATATAATTTACTTATTAGATAATTAACTTGAGTCTGTCCGGCGTTTCAATAAGGACCGCACCTTGAACGAAAACCTCAATACACACACTATCGATCTTCGCGGAGAAAAGAAACCCATTTATGCCGCAGATCTTACTCCCTCTATGCGAAAGGTCTTCTATTTCTCTAAGGTTCTCGTGTTTGTGTTTAAATGGGCAAATCTATATGAAAAATAATCCAGAAGACAAACCCACTCAAATCACGTCTGAACGCTGTTAATCCGAGTTTATTAAAAAGTGTTGACTAGGGATAGGTTTATTAAAATTAAGTTAACTAAATTTGCATATTTATTCCTTTTCTTGTATTAGAATTGCCTGCCTTTCTCAATTATATTAGGTATATATTCTTTTATTTAATTATGAAAACTTCTGCAATACATAAGCACATAGTTTACTTGTATATAATGAATTTCACTCAATGATGGCATCGTAAATATTATATGACATATAAATCTAATATCACATTTCCACAAGACCGCACTTGTCGTACTCGCCTCAGTATTGTGTCATCCACACTAAACAACTACACTTCGATGACAATTCTAAATATGCATCGCATAATAATGTAACTATCCAAAATATAAATGGCTACTTTCAGTGATACAATATTTAACGAAATTGATGATCTCTCCATTGGGCAATCTCACTTATGCTCGCCAGAACGGTGTACAAGTTTAATCAATGAACCTAATCTAAATTTAAATATAATCCGCATCAATATCAGACCCGATACAATTATACAGGCATTTATAATGACATAGATGTAACGGCTTTCAGATCTGTCTTAAATAAGCTGGACTATCGCTGCTGATTTACTGATCACTACCATCCAAAATGTAATTACTACCCATAGTTACATAATTTACGTTCCTAGAAAAAATCCAATCATTAAACAATATTTGCAATTTGAAAAAGCTAAAGAGATCACATATCAAAAATGAACTACTAAATTTCAAAAATGATAATAAATTACGCTGCATTCAAAACCGAGATAAACTACATATAAAATCCTAAGAAGACCCAGGTACCAATATACCTAAAACCTCCTATAATCGGTACCGTAATTCTCTTAATGCACTTTTGAAAAAGCTAAACAGATCACATGACAAAAATGAACTACTAAAATCCAAGAATGATATCAAGGGGACATGGAAAACAATAAAAACTATTACTGACTCGAATCCTGTCTCACACACATCAACAGCCTATGATAGTCCACTGCTGGACTTAGGCCTCTCCTTAGAAAGGAGGTTTTGGCTTACTATACCACGCTGGCTAGACGGGTTGGTATAGGGTTTGTTTCAAGTTTTCCTTCTCTTTGCAGTGTTGTCTTGCGTAGTTTTCCTGTCTACCAAACCTCAATAGCGCGTCTTGCGAATTCAGCTGACATAAAAACCTCACTTAACAATTTTAATAGCTTCTTCGCTGGTGTAGGCGAATGTCCAGCATCTAAAATTCCCCCCCTTTCTGTTCTCAATAGGAGAGACCTATCTGAGTCTCCGCCTTGTAATTCCCTCTTTATTATGCCGGTTGACGAACATTAGGTGAGGCGGATAATTAGGAGTCTTCGTAGAGACTCTGCCACTGGTTATACAAGTTTTAAAACAATGTAGTTCATCTCTAGCTATTCCCATTACCCACATCTGTAATTACGCGATCGAAACTGGATTCTTCCCAGAGGCCTTTAAAAAAGCGGTGTTTCACCCTATTTACAAGAATGGGGATAAAACAAACGTCACTAATTACAGATCGATTTCAGTTTTGAGCGCTCTGCCTAAAATATTTGAGAAAATCATCAATAATTCTCTTACTGCGTACTTTGCTAGACTCAAAATCATTGCTCCGAATCAGCATGGTTTTAAAAGAGGATTCTCCACTGAGGACGCGGTCTTAGAACTAACAAAAACATTTGTTGCTAGGCTGGACAATAAGCTTAAGTGCCTAGGCGTTTTTATTGATGAAACTAAGCATTCGACTCGGTCTGTATTTCTAATTTGTTACCCAAGATGAAAAGCATCGATATTCGCGGAGTAACTCTAAAACCTTCTCACCTGTTAAACCGCTCGCAATATGTGAAAATTGAGTCCTCAATGAGTGATGACGTCATCGTGAACACCAGTTTTGGTGACCCAAAAAGGTGGTATGTTAAAGCCTACACTCTTCCTTGTCTACATAAGATACAAAAGATAGAATATACAAAAGACCTCTGCCGCTTATCCATATAAAACTGCGAAATTGTTACGTACGCAAATGATACGGCACTGGTTATTTATGACGATAACTGGGATTAAAACCGAGAGCGCGCTTCGGCATGTGATGGAATGGTTGTCTGCAAATTTAGTGACCTTTAATATTGAAAAGACTAAAGTTGTCCGTTTTTCCCTCCCCCACACGAGGCTCCCTCCTCCTCATTCTGTCACTGTCAAGGCTCACACTTGCATGCTTCCTCCTTCCCTCCTCTCTCTAACTCCTGCACCTGTCCGGAGCTCACCCTGGTTCTAAGCATCAAGTACTTGGGGGTGTATATCGATAAACATCTTAGCTGGCGCCCACACATAGAGACATCATGCGCACGCACTAGACAATTGATATACATTTTTAAGGAGCTGCGATACGCCGCCGACTTTGAAACTCTAGAACTTGTCTATCAAAGCCTTTGTGTGTCCGTTCTTACCTACTGAACTTACTTACTACTTCAGGTTGAACAAGCTCAAAGAGCAATCTTAAAAGTGATGCATTTCAAACGCAGGGATGATCTTACCACTCTGCTGTACTCAGAGTTCAGAGTTCTTACCGTACGCCAACTTCACATCCTACGTACTGTGCTGCGCCTTCAATCCCCTCTTCCACTCGACAACAGTGTCCTTCTTAGACGGAAGGTCACCGCGGTTTGTGTCCCCGTCCCGTGTTGCACCGCTTTTGCAAGTCGTCCGTTTATCGTCCAAAGTGCACGTCTTTACAACAAAATCAATCGTATCCTTAGCATTTACTCCTTGACGCAATACAATCTGAAGTGTACACTTGCGGGCTATTTGCAGAAGTTGTCATAATAACACAAAAAGGCTAATCGTTGCATTTTCATAACTGTCTACAGGCATAACACATGATGTTTTTCAATGTTCTCCATAACTGTTACCGTGCACATCCTATTGAATAGATCTATGACGTTGTATAAATTGCTATCTCGAAATTACACGACTCCTAAGATACAGGTTTCTTACCTAGTTTAGGAGTCTGTCGTAACTGACCGGTATTTGTGATCATATTACTACTTAAGCTCTGTTATGCCTGTGCATATCATGTTTTATGTGCTGTGTTTAAGCTAAGTATAAATGTAGTAGTTGAAGTAAATAAAGATTATTTTTGTTATTTCAAAAAAAAAGAAGAAAACCATGACCATCAATGAACAGGCAGTATATAGCTCTTGAAAGTTGCGAAACAGGAAATTTGTTTTATATATACTGATGGTGAGCGAAACACCATCGTACTTAGTAATGGCCGGTTGTAGTCAGAGAGGGCGACTCGTTTGTGTCTAGTAAATAGTTCCAGTTTGAGTTAAACATATAATGTTAAATTTCTCAATTCTTTTGCAGTAAACGGAAAGTTTACGTGGCTTACAGAAGTGCAAGTTACGTAGGTTCATCATTTAAATAGTTGTCGTGCCATCGTCGGTTTAGTATTACTCAGCTCAGCGTCCACACAATTATAGAATTAGATAATAAATCTAGAATGAGTTATGCCTTTCCTTTCCAATTCCTTGTAATGATAATATAATCTTTTACGTAATGAGTACACACATTACCTAGGTGAATTTAATTTCATAAACGGAGATATTAATATTTATGTTTTGTTCCAGGTGAGAAGCCGCACAAGTGTGTAGTATGTTCCAAGGCATTCAGCCAAAGCTCAAATTTAATCACTCATATGCGTAAGCACACTGGATACAAGCCATTCTCGTGCGGCTTGTGTGATAAAGCTTTCCAACGTAAAGTCGACTTGCGTCGTCACCGAGATTCACAGCATTCCGACGTGACTGACACAACCCCTACAACTTTGCAAGTACCACATCGTTACAGGTTCTATGGTGACGAGCCCCCCGCACCCCTCACACCACTTGTTACTAATTGAAGAAAAAAGTTAATTATTTCCGGTATCGCAGCCTTGATTTATGCAGAGCTGAAACTCTAGCAGAGAATGAAGCTATAAAACAAGTTCAAACAAGACTACACAAATATTTTTTGTTCAAATGGCCAAAGATAAAAAAATGGAATTCCCAATAATTATTTTATGTTGCCAAATCTCTAAAATCATTACTTCTTAGAAATATAATTAAAAATTAAAAGGCTAAAACCATTTGATATCGACAGGGTTGTATCTTGAAGTGTTGTGTAAATAACAATTATTGTTACCTTTTTAGTGCCTTAGGAAATGCCTGTGAAATGTATTGCTATGTGACCATAATTGAGAAGTATCTAGTTTGTTATTGTGTATATTTAAGCATTACCCAAACATGATTCCGTCCTTTGAAACAGTGATATAAATATATGGTGTTGCAATCAGTGCTTTTAATCAATTGTAAGATATCAATTGGAAAATCGTTATAAAAGTAATGTATACTTAGTCTAATACATACCAAAGTAAAGTGTCTTATTTAGTCGAGTGTAAAACGCTTTATTTATTTAGTCTAGAGTGAAATAAGCATTATATTTTAGTTACATTATGTATTACATGTACTTTTTAAATTACACATCGTTAAAGAGTAAATTCGTGAAAATTGAAATACATAATCTGTAAGTATATTCGGTAAACTTTGGGAAATAGATGTTTGTGTATATATTTAAAGCTATTTGCTTAATAAATAGTATTAAAGAATTAAATACAGTGTCAAGGTTTATCTTACACTTGTTTTAGCCTTGATTTCAGTATATTATAATAAAGTTCAAAAACACTTTTAGATTGATTACCATATAGATAAACAAAATCATTTGTTACCACCAATGGTTTGTTACCATTTACTTAGAATGGAGTTTCTATTTCCTTCAGGTACACCTTACTTAATGATATCGTATCAATTGTTTCATGACCACTATTTATAAAAAGGTACCAACGCAATTATGATATCAGATAAGATGATCTTAGAGCCTACTATGGAGGTTAGAGTGCAGGATGGACCGACACGTTTATGAACTTGCGTGTTGTATAGATATATTGACTAATTCGTATTTATGTTGAAAAATGACAGTTTGATTGATCACTATGAAAACTAGCACATTTAACTGTTTTCTTATAGTTAGAAATTTTGATAGACTTACAAAAATCACCACTGGCAGAACGACTGACAGTAGTAGGTTATAATCATATACAAATATGGGATTTTTCGCTTTAAGGATATCTCATTTCACTTGATTTTTCTTAATATTTTTTAATCGTTATCTATCGTCCTTGCTCACGTCCCATAAGGCTAACTTACCATATTATGTCACCATTTTACATAAATTCATAGTATTAATGTATATTTTTTCATTATGCATTTACTTTAGAAATAAGTTACATTTATTAAACATTAAAAAAACATAGACGTAGTTGATTAGAGGCTATACCTAATTTCTATTATGAGACTGCACTTAAAAAACTTGTAACACTTTCTTGTTGTGTAACTATTTTAAGCGGTTTATACCTAAGTGTTTTGTATCAATGTAATTGAAGTGTGAAATTTTATGTTACTTATTGTAAAAAGTTTGTACCTTATTATATAGGTATAGCTACACAGTCGAGTGTTCTCATAATGTAAGTGACGTCACTACGTAAACGTTAAACGGCTAGAACACCAAAGAGAGTACAACGGTCAGCTCTGATTGTTTCGTCTATACCTTTTTTACTAAATTGAATATTGATTGAGTAAATATTCTTAAACTAGTTTAAGAATATTTACCGTATTATATAGTAATGAAATCCTAAAGTTTCAAAGTAATTACAGCGGTATAACCGTTCAGCTGACTTTTTTATCTTTTGTCGCAATCATATTATCATGAACACCGGTTCGTAAAACATGTAATCGTCAGTCAATTTTCATAAGTTTAATTTTAAGTTGTAATTTATTTAGGCCAGTAAAATATAAATATTTATGAAACTATTAGTTTTTTATTAATAAAATAATATAAAACGTATCTTCAAATTCGATTCCTCATTGCTCCTTGTAATTAGGGTGTACTTGTAATTATTGCATCTTACTTTTAGACGTCTAACTAGTTTTAAACTAAGCAGAGAATGAGACTATGAAAGCTAGAATACTAATATAACATACTAATCATAATAATCATGACTATACCCGAGTAATCCATAAAAAACCCTAAATCTGCTTTACTAGGGGGGTGGGAAACCTTACATTAAATAACTACCGCTGCCCACGGACACCTACAGCTCAAGAGACACTGGTGCGGTGCCGCCCTTTGAGTCCACCAATTCCACCAGACTTTAGGGGGAGAGAATTGGTTGCCCGGGGAGCTCTACTACGCAAAAAAAGCAAACTTTACTACAACACTGAAAACGTAGTTTTAATTGACCATTTATTAGTTTTAATCATTATATTATAAAATAAGACTTGTTTTTCAACGCTCTATTCTGTCAGAAAACATAATATGTTTTCTGACATACAATACATATAAATAATATAGATACAATTTTTTGAAGTTACGAATTTGCATATATAGGCCTATAATATATATTATTTAACATATTTTATTGTATTGAAATATTCAATTGTACGCATTTGCAGCAAATTTGAGATATTTAAAGTTCGTACGTAACAGACGTACAGAAAGCTAAAAATTTTAATCAACATAGATATATGTTATCAACAACAACATGACATGAAACTAAGCTACTAAAAATTCGAAAATGTACAGGTGGATGCAAAACCCAGTAAGGGATTTTTTTCTGGAATAACTTTTTTGCATATTACAATCTTTCATAGTGATTCGCGTGGAATTGTGAAGACACCTTTTAAATCTTACAAATAAAGGATATTCTGATAATATAAAACCTAGTAAGTGTTCTAGATGCTCTCGGAAAACCAACAAAAAAACCTTGTAAGACGATTTCACAACTATAAAACCTAGGAAGTTCCTTACACTTAGGTTTTGAAAAGGTCAATGCAAATTACTAGATTTTTTAAATTGTGAATGAACTCATTTCTAGGGGATAGCGACGTGTGAGGGGACGAACGATAACTGTACAACCCAAAATAATAATTGGACTATTTACTCAGCCTTGAACATGATAGTAAACAGCCCTTCCAGTGTTATGGAGACTGTCACCATCAGTTATCTAACAAAGGGACACACTCAAATGTCGGCGGACGCAGTTCATGGAAACATAGAAATGAGAATGAGAAGGCGAAACAAAAATACGACTTCCAGGACTTGAAAGATATAGTCATGCAATCTAGAAAGAAAATACAGGCTCTAGAAGTTCAGAATAATTATTACTGGCTAAGGAAAAAGAACAGATTTTACTATAAATAATGTCGTAGAGGTAAAATTCGTGCGTGGATCAAAATATTTATTTTTTAAGACAAGGTATATTTTCAGTACAAATTTATAATAATTATGATTAAATACATGTTTGTTTAATATGTATAGATAATATTATTTTTCTAGGTTTGATAAAACTTTTGTCGAATTGGATTTCCTTATGATTTTTTTTTTGTGTGGCAAGCCTACCAACAACTAACCACTAACCAAGAGGAATAAAACGAACAAAGAAGGAGGGCATTATAAACAAACTGCTACCACTTATGCCTGAATCGTGTAAGGCTTGCTAGCTGAACCTTCCTGTGAATTACTCTTCAGTTGATTTAATAACTGAAGGTGAAATGATAACAGAAATTAATTGATTCAGTGTTTCTTCTTTTTAATTAATATAAAAACAAATTGGTTTTAAGAATAAATTATTTCAAAATGAATGTTTTGTGAATATTTTCCCTGCCGAGACATGCATACGCTAAGAACTACACCAAACAGCATACATGACAAGATACATTATACCCATTTTGAAACGCATCAGGGCAGAGACAAAAGTAGAGTTTGTTCATTTTCAAAGTTAGTAAGGTGTATAAAACATGCAATATACATTACTTTCGAAATATTTTACTCATTTTGTAATTAGTGGTTAGTACTCTATCCAATAAATATAACTTTTTTACTTTAACACTAACAGTTTTGTTAGGCTAGTCCGGTTCATGTTTTTGCGCTTTCCTGTAAAACTTGTTAAGTTAATGCTAAATAGGTATATAGATACTTATTTTGTCTGATTACTGTAATTTGTGTCTTTGCATCGATGTACTCAGGATCTTGTATGTAACGTTCTTGATTTATAATATAGGTCGTGTTATTTAATTAAGCTAGCTCCACTTTGAAACAGGAATGTTATTGACAACGTGACTATACGTCCCATTTTGAACTGGACTGTCCCGTATTTTTCAGTTTGCGCTTGCAAAAGGGCGCGTGCGCTCCGCAGCGCGTCTCGCCGCCACCCTGGCCTACTTCTGCTAGGGTGACCCCACCTGTCCCCACCAGGCCTGCGCTTATGGAGGACAGAGGTCGGTCTGCGACCTCCGGCGCCCTGGTCGTTTGCGGTACCTGGGCCGTTCTCAGGCCTGGCGGGCCCGGGAGAGTTCACAACCTCTTCCGGTCCCGGTCTGCCATCTCCTTCGCAAAAGTATAACTTGCTCACAGAGCCACGCACTCTCGCTCCGTAGGTACCATGGCGGCAATCATACTACCGAGCGAGAGGACTCCCACTTCGATGGCCACCACGAGGTCACGCCTCTGCTCCACCCACGCCGGCTATTCTGCCAACGTGTGGATGGCCGTGTCCACGGTCCGGCCATCGCAGTGGTGGCACTTAGGCGTTGGCTCCTTGCTGATCAGACACAGGTGAACTCTGAAACAACCTTTCCCGGTGATCACCTGCGTCACCCGGTATCAGAGGGTGCCGTGACGCCTCTCATCCTCTATAACGGGTTTTACCGCCGCAATAACGGCGTGCCCGATAACGTTTTTACTCTGCATTTTACATTCCACAAATGCAAGAGTAAAAAGGGTTCCTCCTATGTTAAAATTTATAGA